CAATGCATTAATGTCTATTGACACATTTATTTTATATTATATAATTAATTGCTCAGGTAGATTAGTTAAAACCTCTGATTAGTTAAATTAGTTAAAACCTCTAATATCCTTCTTGCTTCTGAAGTCTCAAAGGCCAAGAAATTCCAAAGGTAAAGAAATACCAGGAGTATTGGTACTTTTTAGGAAGAAAGCTTCTACTTTTCTCTGATGTAACAGTCTGAACTATTTATGTACCAGTTCTGAAAAACCAAACCATATGAACTCATTTAAGAAGTAACAGCAATAATGGCTAACACTAAATAAGCATGCACCACTGTTCTTAGTTCTTTACACATATTAATTCATTTAATCCTCACAACTCATGTAATCTCATCCTAGGGGGCAGATACTATTAACATTCTCACTTTACAGATGAAGACACAGAGGCAGAAAAAGGTGACATTTTGTCCAAGATTATACAAATAAGAAGTGGTGGGCCCAGGATTAAATGACAAAATGATAAATAGATGATAGATAAATAAATGTACAGGTAGATAATATAGACACCAAAATTGCTGTTTTAGGAGGGATTTCCAAAATTTTTGTGTGATTCAGGGCACAAGTAACAGTTTTTAGTGTTAATTATTATAGAAATCAAATGGATCAGAAACATTCTCACATGTGCAGCCTTGTAAGATTTTCACTGCAGCCTTGATCTTGAGAGCCCCAATTTGGAAACAACCAAAATGTCTTTTAAGAGTGACATGACCAAATAAACTCTGACAGAAGCACTGTTGACTATATTGCAACCATTAAAAAGAGTGAGGTCACTCAATTTGAAAGATGGCAGAGACATATTTAAAAAAAAAATCCATAAAACCAACTCTATTACATTCTGGAAAAGTAAAAACTATGAGGACAATAAAAAGATCAGTCATCGCTAAGGGGAGGGAGGAATGAATAGCCAGAGGAAGGAGGATTTTGAGGGCAGTGAAAGTACTCTGTATGATACCACAATGATGGATACATGTCATTATACATTTGTCCAAACCCACAGAATGTACAACACCAAGAGTGAACCCTAATGTAAACTATGAACTTCAGACAATTATGGATTCATCCTTGTGATTCATCCTTGGTAAGAAAGGCACCATTCTGATGAGTAATGTTGATAATGGGGGAGGCTAAGCATTGCGGGGCAGGGGTATATGGGAAATCTTTGTACCTTCCTCTCAATTTTGTTGTGAATCTAAAATTGCTCTAAAAAAGAGTCTTTAAAAATACATGAGATATATCATTTATGTAATTAAACACACATAATAAAAATATATTCTCCAAAAGAGATGTATATATGGGGGAAAAGGTTTGCAAGTATAGGTACCATGTTGATCTAATTGTATCAGAGTAACCTATCTCAAAAGGATTTAGGTGATCAAGAGAGAACTTTAGTATTATTAAATATTTTCTTTTTTTTTTTTTTGAAGATTTTATTTATTCACTTGAGACACAGAGAGAGAGAGAGAGAGAGCATGAGCAGGGAGAGAGGCAGAGGGAGAGGGAGAAGCAGGCTCCCTGCTGAGCCAGGAGCCTGATGTGGGGCTCGATCCCAGAACCCTGGGATCATGATTTGAGCTGAAGACAGATGCTTAACCATCTGAGCCACCCAGGCACCCCAGAACTTTAGTATTATTGATGATTTGATTATCGTTAAGTAATGAAAATATGTATTAATTATATGATATAAAACATTCTAAAGAAATCATTATAATTAATTGTTCTTTCTGATTTTGATTAACATCTGTTTGTCCAAGTGGCATGAGTTTATGTTATATATATTAGGCAAAAGATACTACTTATCAGAGTTGAGGATAAGTAGAGAATGTCTCCATTTTAATGACTTTTTGAAAGACTTGGCCTAAGAAATCACCATGGTTTCAGGTAGGGTCATTAAGGATTGGCTTCACTTTCAACAATCCCTAATATCCAGCACACAATCAGCAATCTTTGCAAGCAGTTCTGCAGCGAACCAGGACTTGCCATTTGTCTTATTAATTCTTCCAAATTCTTAATACTCTATTCTTTTCAGCACTCATATAGTCCTTAGAAGAGCGTCTTGCTCTCAGTAGATTCTTTAAGACCTTATCAATCTAGTACATAAAGCCTTTTTAAGCTAACAAAAAAATTAGCTATTACCTCCATTTCCTTTCCTCCACACCCAAATTCAAGTAAACATCTATTATGCTGCCTCCTCATGAAAGAGGCAATATCTCACACAATATGTTTGCTCAACCTCCTTGCCAAAAATCTCAAGAGGAACAAAGAAGGACAGTTTCTGCTGAAAATCTGGGGGCAGTGTTTCTGTGTATATTCACCTGAAAGGGGAATTTAGTTTTTTCCATTCAGCAGACACATTAATTTATTTAACAAGTTCCTGTTTTGTGCTAGACATTGTTCTAGGCTTTTCCATAGGAGTATAGAAGAACAAAGGATCATTGAGAGTTGGAAGGCAAGACTCTTTGAAACAGGAAAGAAATTGGGTAGAGAAAGCAAGAATGACCTGGGTTTTAATTCTCCTGCACTAACTGAGACTTTCGACATTTGACACATGCTTTGCAGAAAAAAATGCAATCAGGCAAACATCTAATACAACCCTCTTCCCCCCCACAGGCTTCTCTCTTAGCAGTGTAGTCTTCAAACAGTATTTTATTGTAAAGGCTTAGTACTATTGCAGCATTTATTATTTATATTTGAATAATTTTAAAATTTCACTGGCATTTCAAGTTTCCTAAGTATCAAATTTTGTGTTTATATTAGCATTCCCTTTCCTTAAGCCCCTGTCTGTTAGGCCAAATCCTATGAGACTTTTTCCCCGTCTGCTTGATTACTACCTATTGAAAGGTTATGTCTCATAGACACAAACCAGCTACTTTCTTTCTTATTATCAAAATATGGACATGCTCCAAAACTATCTACCACATATTTCACAGAAATGGCTGCCAATGACAAACTTTTTAAAAAGAAAATATTGGTCTATATTAGAATAATTTTGTACTCTAAATGGTGTTAGGAAACTGGTGAAAAGTTACATGATTTCTGCTCCATGTGTTTTATTAATCTCTAGTTATAGAAGTACATTTGTTACTTGTGGTCAGAAAGAGAAGATAAATAGAGTTCACCAATAGGGAAAAGGACTTTGATGATTTCAGTCTCTGGAACGCCTCTGCCACAGTCCTTATGAGCTCCAATAATAAGTATGCGACTTACACTTTTCCCTTTGTAATTTCCTCAAAAATTATTCACTATTCTATTCATGGTTTAACAAAACTTTTTCTTAATGCAGTCCGCTACATCAAATTAAAAACATTTCAAGCAATTTCAGAACCATTCTACATGAAAAGAAAAATATACAACTTTGACAGGCTAGTATTTACAAGGAAGAAAAGGTCTTAGAAAGTTATTTTTCTCCATCTTTCATATTAAGCAATTATAATTTTTGCCAAACTAAATATCTTATGAAGATCTTTATAAAATAGCTTTGTAACAAGGCACTAATATCATGTTTTACTTTCAAGTGAAAAATATGGTTAAACTTATTTGTTGGGAAAACTATTTTAAAACATTATATATAGCATGTAATTCAGTAAATGTAATTTCATATAGAAATCTTCCCCATTTCTGTTACTAAATACATCAAATAGACTTCTATCTAACATGATTGTCCTGGTGCCCATATTTTAGGAAGATTCCAATGAATTCCAGTTTAGTATTTTTGTTGAGAGTTCCAGGTGCAAAAAAAAAAAAATTATATATATATATATAGTTATAGTTATAGTTATAGTTATAGTTATGAATATATAAATATATATATAACTATTTTTTTGTTTTATTTATAATCATTCTTACCTAACATTCATACACACTTGAATAATAAAAAAATTGCAGTATGATTTTTCAGTTTCAAGTGACTGGGGAAAAAAATGAAGATTTCAGGAATAACGGCAAATACTGTCTGAATGTGTCTTTTTGGAAGAGTAAAGCCTTCTAATTTGCTTGAATACCATATGCAGGGATCGTGTCTGTTTTGTTCACCAGCTCATCCACTGGGCCTGGCAAGTACACTGCATATGGTGGCCATTAACATAGAACACATATTTTTCAAATGAACAAACATATTGTACTAAGTTGGGATGTTCTAGGATAAACTTTCCCCTTCAAACAGATTTATTTTTTAGAGATAAAGAAAATTTCTTGAAATAAAATAGCCATCATTTTCATCTAAGAACAGCTTATGAAGATCTGTTTGCAGCCTGGACTAAACAAGGTACTTATTGGTATAAATAAAATGATTCAATAATTTCAGATTTTGGCAGTTAGATTCATTCAGATTGTACTTTTATCTCCTCTTTTATCAATTGATAGATTAAATTGTGAGCACATTAGGATCATTGTGCATCTGTAATATTTTGTTACTAGATTTTATACACATATGTGTACGTACACACACACAAAGTAGATTATCTAGATAACAGTCTTCCAAATAATTAATGGAAATGTAAATATTACCTCAATTTCCGTATAATCTCTGCTGCTTTTATTGTCAGAGAAAATGGAAACTGCATGATTCACATGTATCGTCTTAAGTACTAAAGAAATCTCTTTATGTTGAATTTACCTGTTGCCCATCGATGTTTGAGAGGCCCCGAAGAAGTCAACTCAGCAAGTTGTGCAGTTGAGTTTTGGCTAGACTTTGTTGATGTAGCCATTTCATAATTTTATTACTGCCAGCTTGATTTTAATTTGAACTGAATCTTTCAACATACAAAGGCAAGTCATGTATATTTTGAAATGAATTACTGAGTGATTCACTGATGAAACATTCTGAGGATGTTCGAAGCATTGCCGGATGATTTAATAGACCAAACAAAGGTATAGCCAGAGGGTAAATTTATTGTGGCTACTTGATTTGCAACATATGACCCCATAACTCTCTGTGCACAAGGGTTGCTCTGGCTTTATCTTACCTCCAACACTGGACATTCTGGAGGAGTCCTGATGAGAGCTGGATTTATTGCGGTGTTGATTTTTCCGTTTGTTAGCTGCTCTCACGGATCGAAGAAGTACCTCGCTTGCCTTGAAGAAGGCCACCATGAACGGTTGTTTTGACTGAGGCCCATGTCTTCCCACAAGACCAGCGGATTTTACATTGATACTGCGTCCTAGAACAGAAAGCACAAGCGCTTGGTTTACGAGAAAGAAAGTTTACCTGATGTGAATGAATTCTGAGGGTGCTTTGAAAAAGTAACATTACTTTTTAAAACATTATCAGAATGTTTTCCTTGCAGGCCAAAGATTTTTATAAACACTGAAAGCTTGCCGTTACAGACAATTATCCATGCTTGGTTTTACATTTTGCATCATTCTTCACCACAGAACGCCCTCGGGCTTCGTTCACTAACTGATCCTTCTCAGACCTGGAAGTCAGCAGTATTTTAAATGGAAAGGCTTCACTACCATCAGCCTGGAAATGTCCACATTAAATAACAATTTCAAAAATATTAGCTATGGGCTCTTCTGCATTAAATGCCCTATAATTTTCCTCTAAGTGATAAAAGCTGAATGGCTGCCTGGCTGTTTCCACTTTTTCCAGCTTTTTCAAGCCTTGCAAGTGTTAATTAGTGCTGATAGCCTTCCCCCTTCACCTCTGGCCTGTGCCCAGCAAACTTGACAAAGTTATGCTCTACGTAAAGCTCTTCACAGGTCATTCTAGAAGCCCCTGCTGGAGATGGAGTTTTGCTTTAAATTCCAGTTCCTTCTCAACACAAAGTATTCTGAAGTAATCATGGCAGTTTCAGAGTTCCTCCCTCTCTGAGTTTGGACACACCTGAATCTTTACTGAAAGGATTTCAAAACTTGTTAACCAACCTGGAAACTCTAAGAAAGAAAAGTTCCAGATGAGTTTGGAGACTCACTTTTGTCTCTAAACCAGTGTGCATCCCAGACCCTTCCGAGCCATCGGGGTGGTTGTGTATCAGAGAATGATTGCAACCGGAGCCTGCGCAGGAATGCGTTAGAGGTCAAGGTGTCCTAGAGGCTAGAAATAGATGTTGATAAAAACCTCTCCCATTGGGTAGTAATAATAATACTTACAGTAATGCCAAAGGTATTTGGAGCACTTGCTATGGATGTGCTAGGTATTTTTCTAAGTGTTTTCCATGCGATATTTAATTTAATTCTACAAATACTCTAGGAGTTAGGTATTACTATTTTCCCCTTTCTACAATTCACTGTTGTTATGCTCTTCTAATTAAAAAAAAAAAATCACTGAAAATTATATATAATATATAAATAAAATAATAGAAAATAAAAATAGAAAATAAAATATATATTATGTTATATACATATAATCACTGGCTGATATGTAGTTCCATGAAAATCGCCCAAGGAGGATGAACTATTTAGCCTTAGGTTGTAAATTTAGTTGAGAATTACTAAAAACTCATGGAAAGTTTCTACTCTAGATACAGAAGTTACCAATATTTTAAGAGTAATATATAATGTGGTTTGAAATATGTGCATGATTGACTCTACCTTGCCCCCTGAGAGATGTGCATGTTTTCTTAAAATATTTATTCAGTAAAGATTGTGGAGTAACCTCAGTCCATTATAAGACCTAACCCACCTTAGAAGAAAGAAAAGGAAAACAAGTCCTTGAAACGGCATCAATGGCATTTTAGCAAATAAACTCTTGCTCTTAACAAAATTTATTTTGGCAGCATAAACACTTTTGTGTATACTTGTATTGTGCAGAGACCTTCTACCGTCAGAAAAGGAGACTGTGTCATGTGAGGTTGTGCAGCTGTTGGGAGTGACACAGAGGTCCTTTAAATGTGGAGGTATTGGTTAAAAAAAGAAGAAAAAAAAAAAAAAAAGACTGTGCGCTAATCCAAGCAGCATCCGTGGCCTCATCGATTGTCCTACAACGTATCGGAAAACTCGTTCCATTCCCACAATTATTAAAAGGGTATCTGCCTCACAAACGCCACTACCATCCGTCCTCCCGAAGAAAGAACTTACAAATAATCAAGGCAGTAAACCTTAAACAAATAAACACATAGGTTTCTCTTTTAAATGCAAACTTACGGTGGCTCTCTGCCAGAGTCTATATTTCTTAGAAAAACTCTATCACTGGCATAAATGAAAGAGGCAGTTTGATTTGTGGTCAGAGCAGTTTCCATTCTACTTCCACTGTAACAAATGTATTAATTCAGCTCAGACTTCCTCCTTCTGGCAGCCCTTTTGCTGTAAAAAGAGAAATTAGAAGTTCCAGCCAAATACCATACCTTGAACTGACCCACTTCAATACATAAACACTTTTACAACATGTTTATTCAGGTGTAGCACTTGAAATTGGTTTAAGATGTTTCCAGTGACAGAGAGCTCAGCAAAAGAAAAAAAAAAAAAAAGAACTGAGAAACTTGACTGTTACGGAAAAGAATAACTGGCGATCTGTTCTCAAAAAAAAATTTTTCTCTCTTAGAGTACAACATAAAATGTATTTGTTGCGTGTTTACTTTGATTTTTTAATGAAGTGTTAATTTAACAGGAACTAAATTTTTACTTGTATACATCGATGACTGCAGAAATCATTTTTAATATATGATCTCTCTAATACTAAAATAGGTTGCCACAAGATGTTCACAAATGGAATAGAGGTAAAATTAGTTTTCCATTCATTACAACACACACTGCCCCTTTTATAATTAAATAAGCACTTAACGCAAAGTTCCAAGTTTCCTTGGGTTTGCAAGAGAGTTTCTTTTACTATCATCCTAAAACTTTCAATATTGTCACTTTTATCTGTGGAGAAATAATACTGCTCTAAAGATTTATGTTCTGAAAATTGTAAAGATGTGTTATGTTACAATTATGGGTTTCTTGGGCTTTACAAAGGTGGATATTGTGTGTGAAGCAAAGTACTCTTCAAACCAATGTGAACTCCCTTTAAAATAACTTTTGATATTATTAAGTTTCCTCTCAGTTTCCTTTTTACTTCAGCAATGAGGTGACTAGTAAGATTCCATAAGTTAATGCTTGCTCAGTTACTCTTGGTCTTGAGCTCCACCAAGAGAACATTAACTATGTGACCTGCTCCTTAAGACACAGTATACCTGTACTGATTATGTGAACTAAACCTTTTGAATGGCTGAGCAGTTGTTTTCGCTAAAAGTGTTAATAGGAACCCAGGCTATATTGCATGTATTGAAAATAGTAAGTCTTTTATAAAATTGATTCGAATATGTTGCATTTTATTAGTAAATGTACAGTATGCTTTAGATACTGCAAATGTACAAAGTGGCCATACCTAAAACATTTTGATTCAGGAAAATTATAGATAGGTGTGTATCACCATGGTTTTATTTTTCAAAGGTGATCCTTATGTTTGATTTCTAATTAAAACTTATAGACATATAAGGATTAAGGATTGAATATACCGTGAAAATGGAAATGGGGTTGAGTAATGAAAAGAATATTAAATAGAAGGGTGATGAGCTTGAACCCAGGCTTCATCCCCTTAGGATTTAGACATGCCTAGGCATAGCTAGGACATTGCTAGGTTTAATTCACCAAGCACAGAGTATAGAACAACATCATGGGAAAGAACTCATCCTAAGAAAAAGGTGAACCCAGAATGTATAAATTCAGAACAATGCCCCAGGGTGTTTAGGGAAAAGAAACAATTTGAGCAGCAAATATATGGGTATATTATTTCTTAGTTTTATTAACTACAGAGTGAGTAAAGATGGGCTTTAGGATGATATCTTCCAAAGAAATGATTATTCTTTTCACACAAAAATCAAGAGGGAAATATCTGAGGCTGGGGTTCTAACCTGCTCAATTTTGTCATTACTGAAGCTGGAGATTGGAGACTTCCAGACCTGCCACTCTGACCTTCATGCCTTTGTCTAAGCACGGGGGTCAAGATATTGTATTCACATGTGCCTAAGGGCACAACTAACTATTTGAAATTTACAGTCATTGAGAAGGTAGAGTGGCAAACAAAAGATCTATCCCAAACCTACTAGTTTTGTATTTCAGACCATTCTTTTTGGAAAATGTGACTTTCAAAATGTTCATTTCTTTAAAAAGAGCGTTATTAAAGGAGGCTCTGACATAAAGCAGCTCTTTAAAGGCATGTTGATATTATAAGGATAAGTGGTTCCAAATATGAGCATTTAATTTCCCTGCAGAATACACAGTTTGAAAAGCATTCATTTGAGGATTTACCAGTCTAAATGTTGATACCGCTCTAAGATGTTTGCATAAATTCCAGTTTGTTTTTTTCTCCTATAAACCCACAGTAATTGACTGCATAACCCAAAACACCTGGGATGGAACTTGTGCCTAAATTACCTTTCCTTCATTTCAAAAAAGACTCTTGCAGCATCCTTTATGGACTATTTCATAGAAGACAAACCAGTGCATTGTTTCTCATCCACATATCCTCCTGATCTGCATTTACTTTCAATCTGTGATTAAATTTGATTCTGGTGCTCTTAAATTATAGTTTCTCTGACTCTAAATTATACTGGAATTTTACCCTTTTTAGAAACAGATGATTTAAAATGTGCAGAATTCTCTACCCAGCATACAGACTAAATCATCTTTATATCAGATTTTAAGGAATATAGGGAAGGCAGAATTTTGTCTATTTAAATTCCACATATATTTTAACTCAAATTAACTTAAATTAAGCATGTTGTAATCTAGCTATAAATTTCAACTCTGTTACAATTTGATAACATTTCCATAGTTTCTAGTTTTATAGTAAAAACACTGGCCTATTGCCAGATATAAGCACATGGATTTGCAGTATCACAAACAGAATTTTATGTTTGTGCTCAAAACTTTCTTATTTTCAAGATGGTTTACATTGCTTATAATCTCAAACAAAAGCAAGGAGAAGCTGGGATTTTAAACTATTTCAGTGATACTGGAAATTCATAGTTAAGAGGTTGCTGGAAAAGCTTTGAACTTTAGAATGCAAGGTAGTAAGATCTTTGATTCTTCAAAGTAATTCTGGGACTCTAATAAGCTGGGCTCTTCATGCAATGCCTTTGCTAGATGGCTCTGTTCTCTTTTTTATACTGACATTTAAAAGAGTAAATTAAAAATAACCACTTTATTTTATATTAAATATTATATATTTATAATTATA